GTATTAAGGACAGGTAGTGTGGGCCCAATGGTGTCCTTCATAAAGAGGCTACACTGTACATGTATTAAGGACAGGTAGTGTGGGTCCAATGGTGTCCTTAATAAAGAGGCTACACTGTACATGTATTAAGGACAGGTAGTGTGGGTCCAATGGTGTCCTTAATAAAGAGGCTACACTGTACATGTATTAAGGACAGGTAGTGTGGGCCCAATGGTGTCCTTAATAAAGAGGCTACACTGTACATGTATTAAGGACAGGTAGTGTGGGCCCAATGGTGTCCTTAATAAAGAGGCTACACTGTACATGTATTAAGGACAGGTAGTGTGGGCCCAATGGTGTCCTTCATAAAGAGGCTACACTGTACATGTATTAAGGACAGGTAGTGTGGGTCCAATGGTGTCCTTAATAAAGAGGCTACACTGTACATGTATTAAGGACAGGTAGTGTGGGCCCAATGGTGTCCTTAATAAAGAGGCTACACTGTACATGTATTAAGGACAGGTAGTGTGGGCCCAATGGTGTCCTTAATAAAGAGGCTACACTGTACATGTACATGTGTATTATTATTATTATTGGTCCTGGGGGAGTAACTTGATACATTTATTCACAAACTAATTGTATTCATTCTGTCCAGTAGCAGCTGTCCCTATTTCCCCCTCACTCTCTTTCTTTGATGTATTCAAGTGGTTTCATTTTCTCTCTCTTTTTGTCTTTTGTAGCTTTTCAAACTAACGCTGACGTACCCCTTCCTGCCTGGCCTCCATCATCTCCTCACATACCAGGTAACTAATAATTAATAATAATGGAAGAGCTCATGATTTCTATGTACTTGTAACATGTACATGTATCAGAAAATGTAATAAAAATTGAGAATTTTTACCTTTTCATTTCTGGTGAATTTTGGCCAAATCCCTTGCGATTTTTGAGCAACTTTAACACCTGATGTCAATATGTTAATAGACACTCACTGAACTGCATATACATGTACATGTACATGTACATGTACATGTACATATTCATATTCTATGACGTATTATATATGACGTATTACAGGTACATGTTCCTTTTTTAGGTATAAGGTCTCCGGTGTGGCAGTATCCTGGTGTCATTACCAGTCAGTCCCTCATTCCCTCTCAATTGGATACCTCAAGTACCAACTCAGTCCCCCAAACCAGTGCCGATAGTTTAAGCAATGGTAGCTCGACTCCGCCCAACGTCACTCAGAACGGTGACCATGCCCAGATTAATAACAGCACCGGGAATGTTAACGACTCCAAATTCCTATTCCCGTCAGGCAGTGCCATCCCTCTTTCCCCTGGACTGTTCAATGCTCAGTCGTTCTTTAATCCTGGAGGAAGTAACAATATCCCTATAACACCAACGCTACTAGCTCCTTCTGTCTCCTTCTCAGAATCCTACATTAGACCAGGTCAAATCTACTCTCCTTTCTCGTTCACGCCCCATGGCAGTCTCCATGGCAACCTCCCCCGTACCCCCACCCTCCCCCCTCCTTCCCCTCATGCCATTGTTAGTTGCTCTTCTTTCCCTGCTCTAACGGCCATTGCCCACCCCTCCTTCTCCACTAGTAGTCTTCAATTTCAAAAAGGTGGTTCCTTCCTTGACGACATTACTAAGATTGGCTCCATATCTCCATTCATAGTCTCTCCATCTCTCTCTCCTAATCGACGTCCAAATGGCACCACAATATTCTTTCCGACGACCATCACAGCTCAAGGTGAAGCTAAGTTCGCTACCATAGGAGAGGTGGGTATGGCCGGGTCTGTGGGCGGAGTCGAGAGGTTATCTGGTACGCCAGACGATGGTAGCATCCATTCTACCGATTCACCGTTGATCAAGAGAGAAGTGTCGTCACCACAACATTGTTACATAGACCAGGAGGCAGCCTAAGGAGGAGGAGAAATAATAATAATAATAATAATAATAATGACAATAATTTAATGATTATAAAGTGAGTTTTGAGTTTGTAGTAAATATATTGTGTCAATAATAATAATGAAATCTTTTGTTTTTATTGCATTAAGCTTGATTTAATTGTACACGTACACGTACATTTAGCTCGTACACATGTCCAGTATATACCTTATATTAGATATATGGAGCAACACTGTGTGTGTGTGTGTGTGTGTGTGTTGTTAGTACAGTATGTGTAGTGTGTGTATTATTAGTAGCAATACTGGGACCAGGTACTATTAGTATACTAGTGTCTTAAAACGGCTTCTAGTTACTACAGGACGCTGATGACCCAGTACTATACTTGTCAATCTTTGTGTCATTGTGTTTGTGTTTTGTAGCCTAGAGAGAGGGAGAGAGAGGATCAGGGGATTGTGTTCACACTCAGTATTATTATTATTATTTGTGTTGTTGGTTCTATTTGTGGTCTGTGTATCTAACGAAGTATCCAGCTGCTCCAGTGTGGTTTGTCTCTTCTTGTTATTAATATAATACCTTTAGTGAATGGCTTCTCATCATTAATAATGACATCTCTCTCTCTCTCTCTCTCTCTCTCTCTCTTAGATTACAATTCTTTCTCTTCATTCATTTCATATTCTGACTGGCACCACAACCCCACACAATCACTCTCCATCCTACCACCACTCACAGGATAATTTCATGTCTCTGCTTCCCCTCTCTCCCTCCCTCCCTCTCTCTCTTATAAAGTCACTTGTTATCATTATTATTATTATTATTGTTGTTGTTGTTGTTATTTTTTCATTCAAACTTTCTTTCTACAATCAGTGACATTCTTTTTTGTATAGTTTATTTTATTTTTGTATCTTCAATCTAGTAAATTTTGACAATCTCTCTCTCTCTCTCTTTCTCTCTCTCTTTTGTAATATATTAATAATTATTATTCTGATGTCATGACACCAATCTCTTTCTGTCTCTTGTGTTTGTTTATTATCATTATTATTATTAATATTATTATTTCAAACTTGATGAATTTTCCATCTCTTTTCTCTCGTTTATAATATTATTATTATTTTCCAATCTGCTCAAAATAATGAAATTAAACTGGCCAAACTTCCAAGCCACACTCTTCTCTTCCTCTCTCTCTCTCTCTCAGTTCAAAACTGTTTTTGTAACTATTGTAATTATTTCTTGTTAATGATAATAATTAATATTAAATCAATGCTCAAACTTTCTACATAACATAAGGACATCAATATGTATTAGAAAATGTAATAAAAATTGGGGGTGATTTCGGAGCCATTTAAAAAAAAACCATGGGCTATAGCCTTGGGTATTTTTCAAAATTTTTGCATTTTCTTAAAATGACCGTAACTTAAAGATTTCTTATCAGAATCAGCTCAAACTTTCTACACAACATTAAAACATGTATATGCACCAGGAAATGTAATAAAAGTATTCCTATAGTGTGTGTCTGGTCCCAGTGGAGCAATGCAATACTGAGAGGGTTAGGTAATGTAGAGTGTTCCTGAGATCATTGCATGTACATGTATGTGTGTCTGTACATGTATAATCCAATTATTATTATTATTTAGTAAATGATATCACTATATGTTTACTACAAGAAGACATCTGTCACTCACCTGCAGGAATGAGAATACACAAACAGGTGGTATCAGAGATTACTGGTACCAAATATGAGAGGTGGTATGGAAGATTGAGCATGGAACACATGAGGAGAAATTTATTAATAATAATGATTATTCTTATCAGATCTTATAATCTAATCTGTTTGATAAAATTCTTGGATATCATTGAGCCCACACTACCTGTCCTTAATACATGTACAGTGTAGCCTCTTTATTAAGGACACCATTGGGCCCACACTACCTGTCCTTAATACATGTACAGTGTAGCCTCTTTATTAAGGACACCATTGGGCCCACACTACCTGTCCTTAATACATGTACAGTGTAGCCTCTTTATTAAGGACACCATTGGGCCCACACTACCTGTCCTTAATACATGTACAGTGTAGCCTCTTTATTAAGGACACCATTGGGCCCACACTACCTGTCCTTAATACATGTACAGTGTAGCCTCTTTATTAAGGACACCATTGGGCCCACACTACCTGTCCTTAATACAGAGGTGTCCTCATTTCAGAGGTACTTTTGTACAGGCTTGTACCAATTGGGACACTTACACAATGTCTTCATTATGAAGGTGTCCTCATTATAAAGGTGTCCTCATTATAAAGGTGTATGTCTTACAGTAGTTGATGCTATGTGTTACTGTATTCCGGTTGTTATTGTAGGCTGAGATATGAGTCCTTAGAAGTGACCTAGGAGACTTCCTGTCTGCCAGCTAGTGTTCTCAGCAGATCCTTTCTATTCCTGAAAGCCACAGCCTACCCAGATACATTATTGTGATACTGTAGGACTGTTGTATGGGTTCACTCCATCAGTACAATGTGTATTGTAGAGATTCTCTTCTAATTGAATTATAGGATCATATTATACTAGACTAGTCTAACATCACTCAGTTAGTACACAACCTGTTAGCAAGTATACAAACATACAGTACTGATGCTGTACAAGTATAAGTACATCATTAATACACTGCAGTACATGATGTGTCACAATAGCTGCTGCAATCATTGTGTATCAGTAACTATTGCTTTATGTAAGATGTACATGTACAGACACACACAGTTATAGGAGATTAAAACTAAATCCCTGTTAATGATAATAATGCATTGTGTAAGAGAAGCAGTGAGCAGTTACAAGAGGAGACTAGACGCACCACATGTAATGAAACATGTAACATGGAGAGGTAACATGTTCATGTATCATGTTATCTGGTCTGCCGTCAGTCCTTACTTGGTGTCTGTTATATGTAGAACTCACCAGTGTGTGCTAATATGAGACCCTGATTGAGTTGATTATTAGGAGGTGCAATTAATGAGAATTGTAGAATCATTAATAGCTAAACTGTTTAAAATGCATGCAAAAATAATTGTGACAATTGGAGGCAAAACATAGCAATACTGTCACCACTATGAGGTGACAGTTCATGGTTCCACTTTGCAGTAAAAATACCAATTTTTAGGTGAAATTTGTCCACCAACTAATTTTCCAGGGTTGTTCAAAATGGCTCTAATATTACAATTTTTATTACTATAAATCAAAGTGATTAAAAATAAGATAAATTGACACTAAAAATATAAACAATAATTTATTAAACACCTAAATACAGGAATGGCCTTCCTTCCAATAGTCTCCTATTATTATTATTATTATTATTATTACTATTAGGATCATTTTTCTTTTTTATGATTCTTAAAAGTCTCTTTGGTATCCTCTTCTTTATTCTTGATAGAGTCGGCCTTCTTCTTAAGTCCGTGGTCTGATCCATAACGAACTTCAGTCATTTTAATAATAAAATAAAAAAGCTGATTAACTAGAGGGAGAGAGAGAGAGATAGAGAGAGCAATAATTTATTTATTAATGAACAACTATACAATACCAAATAAGGAAATACTTAAAATCAACACACACACACACACACACACACAGAGAGTAAGTATAGTACGTTAAATATTTGCGAGTAATTATAATTAATTAATTTATTAAACAGCCACACACACACACACAACCATATATGGCAAAACTTTCATTATTTTAACAAATTTAAATCCAATCTTAAAATCAAAGTGTGTGCATTAATTAGAATAACCAGTACCTATTATTAATGAGCTGACCACACCCACTAGAGTGTACCACGCCCCCACATATAATAAATAAGAGGCCAGAGAGAGGATGGGTAGACCAACGAACAGTATCCAAATGGACATCACGACATTAGGCCAGGGACGGGTAGGGACCTGTATCTCGTGATAAGGAGAAGGAAAGACCTTGTGCTTGATATGATGATCCACCAGGTCATCCTGTGGAGAGATGTGGAATTATCAAACACTTTACAATACAGGACTTTTGTTTTTAAATGGTTATAACTTTAAAATTTTTTGTCGGAATCAGCTCAAAGTTTCTACACAGCATAAGGGCATCAATATGTATCAGAAAATGTAATAAAAATTTGGGGTGATTTTGGAGCCATTTTTTGGAAAAAACCATGGGCTATAGCCTTGGGTATTTTTCAAAAATTGGCCGATTTCTTAAAATGGCCGTAACTTGAAAATTTCTTGTCGGAATCAGCTCAAACTTTCCACACAGCATAAGTACATCAATATGTATCAGAAAATGTAACAAAAATTTGGGATGATTTTTTAGCCATTTTTTGAAAAAAACCATGGACTATAGCCTTGGGTATTTTTCAGAATTTTATCATTTTCATAAAATGACTGTAACTTGAAAATTTTTTGTCGGAATCAGCTCAAACTTTCTACACAGCATAAGGACATCAATATGTATCAGAAAATGTAATAAAAATTTGGGGTGATTTCGGAGCCATTTTTCATTAAAAACCATGGGCTATAGCCTTGGGTATTTTTCAAAATTTCGTCATTTTCATAAAATGGCCGTAACTTGAAATTTTCTTGTCGGAATCAGCTTAAACTTTCTACAAAGCATAAGGATATCAATATGTATCAGAAAATGTAATAAAAATTTGGGGTGATTTCGGAGCCATTTTTCATTAAAAACCATGGGCTATAGCCTTGGGTATTTTTCAGAATTTCGTCATTTTGATAAAATGGCCGTAACTTGAATTTTCTTGTCGGAATCAGCTCAAACTTCTACACAGCATAAGGACATCAATATGTATCAGAAAATGTAATAAAAATTTGGGGTGATTTCGGAAACTTTTTTTAGAAAAAATTATGGGCATGTATCTTGGGTAATTTTCAAAAAAATAGCCCATTTTTAGAATGCTCATAATTTTAAAAAAATTGTCAAAATCAGCTTAAACATTTTACATAGCATATTATTTATTTATTTCTTCTTATTATCATTATTATTATTATTATTATTATCATTATTATTATTATTATTATTATTATTATTATTATTACCTTTTCCTTGTAGAGGTTAGTGAGCCATTTTGCACACTCTTCATCTGATCCAATGGGAACTTCAGACATTGGAATACGTCTATTGGAATAATAATAATAATGATAATAATAATAATAATAATAATAAGCTCTAATGTATCAGCAAAATTTTTATATAAGGGCTCATTTCCCTCCTACACTGTACTATAGTACAGGTCGGGCATTGGCTCAATTTTGGAGCAACTTTAAAAATTCGTAAAAAATGCAAACTTGATCAGAATCAGCTCAAACTTTCTGCACAACAAACAATAAACAATAAACAATAAACAATAATGTCAATACATACCTGACTGCAATGTCACAGGCACAAGGAAGTTGATCCATTACTCCCACTATACTGGGTTCACCCTCCACATAACCAAACGTAATATCATATATTGCAGGGACTAAAATAATAATAACAACAACAATAATAATAATAACAACAACAATAAATAAATAAATAAATTAATAAATAATGATGATAAAATGATAGTCAATACATATACCGTATTTCCTCAAATAGACCCCGCACGTCGATTATTACCCGCCCTCGAATATTCCCCGCACTTGTCAACTTTTGAGTGAAATACACATAGTAGCCTCCCTCTAATTGTATCCGCATAGTTTAATTTTAATAATTTTGGGTGTGGCATTATATACTAGCGCTAGCTGAACGTGCCAGCATATGATGCCAGTATCTATGCGCTGAGCTTAAGAGCAAATAGTTGATCCCTTGGTTGGTTGATCTAGTTGTCGAAAGCACTGTAAACAGCCAAGAAGATGAATCTCACTTACTACCAGAGTACTACCGCTATTGCTGGGCATTCTCTCATGAGTTAAAAAGTTTCCAGTAGCTAGAGCTGCTCTCTAAACATCTCTAGGTAGTAAAGAAAGACTTCTACTGACAGAAGATTAAGGCCTCACAGATTAACTGATAAATTATTAGCCTCAGTTGAAATTATTAGTACCCGCCCGCAAATAATACCCGCCCTCAAATAATAGCCTCATTTTATCTTTCCTGAAATTAATAGTAGCCGCGGGGTCTATTCAAGGAAATACGGTAACTAATATTATAACATTATTACATTTATATTATTATTATTATTATCATTACTTGTGTCATTAAGATTATTAACAAGGAAAGTGAATCCCTTTGGTCTCGGCAGTAGGTGGTGCTTCAGTACTGGGTATCCATTCTCCTTAGAGAACTCCACACTCACCCTGTGCTTCTCTTTAGTGAACCGAGTCCCCTCCGCAAATAAACACAACTGGAGGAGAGAGGGAGGGAATGAAGTACAGTGAACATGAATTGTTTGTAATTATATTAAATAATTGATTGATTGTACATTGATTTTAGTAACTAGCTACAATTAGTCTCATTAACATTATTAACAGTTCACTGTTGTACCAGGATAACTGTCATAATAATCAGATTTACACGTATGATTTGATAGGCTTTTAGTTGTTGTTAATTAATTGGGGCGAGCATGAGTGAGACTCACACTAATCTGTCTAGGTCTATTTGCGTTACGTCTTGTTTGTGAACGGAAATATACGAAAATTAAATTAGTATACTACTATTGATAAATTTGGATCACGTGGGCAAAATTAATTTAGAGGGTGTGGTCAAAAAGAACAAGATGGTGGAATTTTCAACGTGACAAACTCAGATTGAGTTTCTAACAGTTAGACAAGAGAGAGGGGCTGTCTAAAGCATCTCTAAAGGCTGAAGAACCTAAAAGCAGTTTGATCTAAGACTCCTTTAGATTAGTCCTCTCATTGAAAGAATTAAAA